TTGTTTTATGAGATATGAGATGGTGCAAAAATGCATCACTGGTAAGATAAATGAACAACAACACAAAAATATTTTGATTATCATTTATTAACTAAGTAATAAGTTAGTCATAAATAAATAATAATAGTAATACAACATAATACTAACAAATACCAACTTTAGTATGAAGTTTAATGTAAAAAATATTTAAACTACAATTGGTGCAAAAACGCAATGGGATAAACAGTATAATCATTTATTTTGATACTTCGCAAACCACTCTTCATGTAAATGAACGTTAAACTTACTACACATATATTGACGCACTATATCCATTAACGACTATTTTTGGGGAAATAACCGAATAAATGCGTCTACACTGTTTTGTGATAATACGAAAGATGATGTAATCCTTATATGTCATCATACATCCCAATGGTGTGTTTTTGCACCATTAATGTTTCAAGTCGTATTTTCAGAATTCATATTTTTATTTCGCGTTTCGAGATATAAATTTTATACACTAAAAATAGTTTTATTTCCATTGTATATTTTGAACAGAAGTTTTCAATAGAAAAGAATTGATGCAAATATGGTTTAAAAGCAAGAATTATGAAATATTTTGATATGTACAGCCTATCAACCTTATAGAGTTATTGTACAAACAGCTAGCACCTTCAAATCTGGAAATATAAAGCTGTAAAATAATTTTAAAAACGTTGGTGCGTTTTCCACCAATTACGGCGGTGAGTGGGGATGTTGCTAATCAGACTGACAACGGTGAGGCCACTGATCCTCCGATATACAGGCTGTCCCGAAACTCAACGTCATGCGGGCACCAGGTGAGAGGCCAACCCATACCTGTTCTGGTAAAAATGAGAAAAAAATTCCATGTCTCTTAGTTAAGTGGTAACAGCCATCCTTTTGAAAATGTTAAAAATCGGTCTTGTACATCATATCTTTAGGTACTACGGTCAGAAATGTTGGCAATTTAATAGTGATTTTTTTAATAATTATTATAATAATAAAAATAAGTAGATGTTTATTATAAAATAAAGTTTAATTGTTTCTTTTGTGTCTACCGCTACTTGATATTTGGACAAAAATAACACCGAGTGTAAAACATTCATGCGCTGCTGGATTAAAATGTTAGTTTGCTTGTTGATGGGGAAAGAAATGAATTTTTAAGAAAAACAAAATACTATTATGACACTTCGTTTGACAGTTAACCCTTTCGTAAGTTCTATCTAGCTTAAAAAACACTCTCTACTAATGTTAATTCAAACTTTTTGCCTGGTATCTACATTCCTCATTAATTCTTTTTGTCATTCAGCAGCATCTTCGCCAGTACTCCATTTCCACATTTGATTTTAGGTTGTTAACCCTTTCAGGACAGAGCCGAATATGGTAGCCGTTCCGGCCGAGCCAAATTTCACTTAACTGAAATGTGCGATGGTTGGTTTGGAGTCGGCCGATTCCTTCGAGAACGGCAGTACTTTTTACAGCTATTACAAAACATACCGTCCGAAAGGTCATCTCTCATCAGATTTAACCTAACTCTGAAATGTGTGATAGTTGGAATCTGCCGATGTCTTCGAAAACGGCCGTAATTAGTTTCTCCAGCTGTTACAAAATATACAAGACAACCCACCTGATTTAAAAGTGAAATATTTGTTAAATCATTATACCATGGCGTTGTCATGAAAATATATTATTGTTTACATTTAGAATAAAACTTCAGTTCATTTTCATCATTTCATAACGAAAAGAGCATTTTTATTTTTTGTACTTAAATGAGGTTACACTGGTGAATATAGTATAAATTACAACAAGTAAACCTCAATTTTTGACCCCGGCGTGAGTAAAACAAGACAGGCTTCAAGACTTGAAGATTTACCTCAAGAAGAATTAATAGTTCTTCGATAATCCCGACGTTAACAACATTAACAATTAAATTCAATTTGGAAAAACTAATAATCCTTTAACTTTTGGATGGACCGGATTTATGCCCTTTGGTTTTATAAGAATTTAGAAGATTTTTAATATTGGTTTACTTATTTTGAAGATATTTTAATTAATATTTTGGAGATTCCTCTCTTTCGACATTGCAACAGGTGGAGTATCTGCGTCAGGAACATTATAGATATTTCCGCGTTTAAGGTATTTAGCCGTGAGAAGGAATAAATAATTGTCATTAACTTTGAACTTTGTCAATAGTATGTTTGACAGACATTTAATTTTCACAATTAAATTTTTTTCAGAATTATAATTATCCACAAACATTATTATTAAACTTTATTAAAATGAACGATCAAAGTGGTAATTCCAACAATGTCATTCATGAAAACGTGTCCTCTATTAAATTACCACCTTTATGGGTAAGTAAACCAGAACTCTGGTTCATTCAAATCGAGGCACAATTTGCTATTTCCAGAATTCATTCTGACAAGGCTAAATACAACCATGTCATAACAAATCTACCTATTGAAATCATCTCAACTACTTATGACATTATTTCTAATCCACCTGATCGCGATTTTAAGAGAGACATTTTATTAAAACTTTGGAAACGTAGATTACCTAAAACCATTTTTGTTGCCTTATTAGCGTCCGGTAAAGACAATATCGATGAATTGCTTTCTATCTCCGATAAAATTTGGGAATCATTTAATTCTCTTTCAAATCCTTATAAAATTTCGGAAATTTCTTCTTCAACCTCTAAAAATGTTTCCGTTCAAAATACTAATTTTGATTTAATAAAAGCTTTTACTGATTTTAGTTTGTCTTGCTAATCACCAAGATAGGAAGGACCTTTTAAAGTTGTTAAAAAATATTCAAAAAGTTTTGTTATTTTTAGAAACAAACATTGTTATACCGTTAACAGCGTTCATTTTAAATAACAGCACTAATAATTTATCATTAATAATAATAATTTATTATTAAAACAATATTTAAAAAAAAAATCTTTTAATTAACCAATCACGTTACTTAAAAATTAATTAATATAAGCAAAATATATATATTATATTTTACTTTTCAACTTCATTCCATCACTATATACACACACTATTCTTGTAGTAGTCATATACTATTCATAGCATTCATTCTATTCACACATAACGTATTATATTATTCATGATGTATTAACATGGGATTTAGCTTTTTAATTTGGAAATAAATCGAAATTGAAGACATAGAGGATTGTGTGTGTTTCTGATTTTACTTGCTAATCACATTCATTACTAATTATAATTCAGTCCGAAACGTCCTGTTCCACAACGGGGCGGCGTAAACGCTTGAATCTGATGGAATCGTCGAAAATATCGCCGTTGGTCGGTGGCTTATTTATAACCGGACGCCCTGGTGACGCTTTGCCCTCCTCCTCCTCATTGTCCCTCGTTGGGTTCTCGGCAACTCATCCTTCTCGGACCACTCTCTGACTCTAATATGACTAATAGGTTTTCGATGTAAAAACGACTGTCGCTCGAGACTCGTTCTAACACAACGCCACGTCTTCTTTTTCCTCGTAAAAGCATACTGATGCAATTTACCTAGCTTTTTATCTTTTTTGTTTGATTTTTATTTTATGAAACACGGAAATAGGTATCGATTAGTTGCAGGGCACGAGCGACGCCACCCTTTTCCTATCGGCAATAGAGTGAGTAATATCTTGTCGCTTTGATGACGTAGAATCATAATGTAATCAACAACCTCTGTATCCTTCTTAATTACTAAAGCAAGTCATTTAGTAATAAAACTATAATTCAAGACAAACTAAAGATAATAAAATTGTTCATATTTCATTTAGGTACATTAAATTCTTATACAGATCTGATTTGAAATTCATACATAACACTAAATAACGATTATAATAATCAAAAACATAGACAACCAATTTTACACGAATGAAGTCAATAAACTCGATAGCTTAGCAGCCAATTTTATAGAGGTGTGCTTTTAATACATAATCAATATACTTATATTTCAATTAATTATTAAGACTACTATAATGTAATAATGATAATAATGTATATATACAGGGTCTATCAGCGAGACCGGTCATTAGACGTTTCTGGGGTTATGGCCAAAATAAATATTTGAAAATTCAGATTTATGTATAATTAATTGCGTTTTCTTCGACTAAAATATTTTCAGATTTCTAGCACTTCCGGTTATACCGGAAGTCTGCACCTACTTTCTTTTTTTAAATGGAACACCCGGTATATTTTTACATCTTTGGATTTGTCCATTTTCAAGATTTATGAATAACTTTACTATTTACAATTTTATTCGGCCGTTCTCGAGTTATTCGATTTTTTTTAAATCTGTTCTAGCAGACATTGCTCAAGCAACATAGTGGGGTATGTTTTGGTGGCGAGAACGGCATTCTAGATCGTTTGGTCACTTAACTACGGCACGTTAACTTTTCGAAATATAGATGTACCATAACTTCATTTTTTTAAATGGCACCCCAAATATTTTATGACTTATGACTTAGCCGTCTTTGGCGTCTCATTTTACATCTTTTATATCCCAAGTGTTCTATACCTAACTGTAATGTTTATGAACAATACTGTTATACTGTTTAATAAAGTTTATTTAAATCTTCAAACATTCAAAACACACATCTTTACTATTACAAACACAAGAAGACAAGCGCCATTTTTATTAACGTTCGTTACACATTTATAAAAACTACTTACGACACCTTGCGGTCACGGACGGCACCTTTACTCTATAAAAGTTATTACAATCCTCCCCCTCTAAGTACAAAAAGTTATAAATTTAATTTAGATGGTGGTTTGATTTATTCTCTAGGTCTTAAATTTTTTGATAAGTCATCTTTAATACTATCCTTCGTACTTATAAAATTTTGTTTTCTTCTCTCTAATCTTGTTTCCATTGTATTTTCATCCTTGGATTTAACATTTTCAAAACTTATTTCTGTACCCTCCAATTTATTCTGTGCCTCTTCTCTTCCCCTTTCCGATGTCTCTTTTCCTCCTGTTTCTTCACATATTTCATAGTTCTGCTTTTGTTCCTTTCTCCAATGTCAAAGGACGCAGGAACCTTCTCATTTCTATCTCACTAAGTTTGGCTTTCTCTAATTCTTTCATCTCTAATTTTTCTATATAATCACCATAAAATTCTCCGGTTTTAACAATTTGATCTGCGTGTCTTTTCCACGTTAAGGATGCATCATCCATTACCTTGCACAAATATGTACTTATTCCTAATACTTTTAATATTTTAGCCTTAGTCCACCTACTTTCACCTGGTGTTCTATAATCTTTCACATACACTACCTCCTCCTCTTCGAAGCTCACTTCTCTGTTACCTTTAAAATATTTTATTTGTCTTTCTAATTGTTTATCAGAATCTACTTTATTTAAAATATTTAATCTTGTTTTTATATTGCGTTTGAGCATCAATGTGGAAGGTGTTTCATTTGTGACACAATGTGGTGTATTTCTATATGCAAACAAATATCTAGTTATGATGGTTAAAAGTGATACATTTCTATTTCTTTCATCATATAAAGCTTTTTTTAGACCAATTTTGAACGACTTTACAGCATTCTCCGCAGCTCCATTTGTTGCTGGGTGATAAGGTGCTGATGTTATGTGTTTAATATCATTATGTCTACAAAATTTCTGAAATTCTTCCGATAGAAATTGAGTTCCATTGTCACTAATTATTTTATTAAGTAACCCAAATCTCGATAAACAATCTCTCAATTTTTCTATGGTATTTTCGGAGTCTATTTTATTCATTAAATAAATTTCAGGCCATTTCGAATAAGAATCTGTTATTATTAAAAACATTTTACCTTTAAAAGGTCCCATAAAATCGATATGAACTCTGTCAAATACTTCCTTTGCCTCTGTGAACTTTGTTAATTTTACCAATTCCGGGTTTCTTGAAAAAGTCATGCATGCTTCACAACTTTTTACATACTTTTCTATATCTTTGTCTAAATTTGGCCACCAAAAATATTGCCTAGCCAATGCTTTCATTTTGGACATTCCAAAGTGCGCTACATGTAATTCTTCTAGCATCTGTTTCTTAAAAATTTGAGGTATTATGACTCTATAACCCCACATTAAAATATTTCTGTCCAGACTAATTTCATTCTTTTTATTTGCAAATAGTTTTAATTCTTCTTCTACATTTTCTGGCCACCCTTATCTAACATACGTGATTACTTTTCTTAATTGTTTGTCTCTTCTTAGTTCTGCAATAATTTGGTCTCTATTTAACGGTAAATTCTCGGCTACTAGATAATTTAAATAATCAAATCTTTCTTCCGTATCTTTTTGATTTAAGGGTAATCTCGACAATCCGTCTGGTATTTTATTTTGATTTCCTTTAATATATTCTATTTTATATTTAAAACCACTTAAAAACAACGCCCACCTTTGCAGCCTTCCCGCTGCCATCTGAGGTATTCCCTTATTCTGCCCAAATAACGCTTCCAATGGTTTATGATCCGACTGCAGAATAAACTCGTTTCCCATTAAGTACTGATAAAATTTTTGTACAGGCCAACAGATAGCTAAAGCCTCTTTGTGAATCACAGAATAATTTCTCTCAGCTTTAGACAAAACTCTAGTCTGAAATGCAATGGGTCTTTCTGCTCCATCTGGTAAAACGTGTAACAAAGCTGCACCAATGCCCACATTAGATGCATCACACACCAACTTAATTTTGTAATTAGGGTTAAAATGTATTAAATGATCTTCTGACCTCATTATTCGCCTAATATTGTTAAAAGCCACATCACAATTCTTACTCCATTTAAAATTATTTCTCTTTAACAGCTGATATAATGGTTCTAATTTATTACTAATTTTAGGAACAAATTTGCTGTAATAATTCACCCTATCGATGAAGGCTTTCAATTCTGTTATGTTGGTAGGGTTTGGAGCGTCTAATATTGCTTTAATTTTGTTTGGAGCCTTCTGTAATCCCTTATTATCTATTACATGACCAAAATATTTTATATTTATATTTTTTGGTGATTTTCTTTCCATTTTATGTGTATAAATTAAACTTCGTTTTTTGCACTTTAATGGATTTTTATTTTTAATTTTTACCCAACCGGTTTCACATTTTTACGGCTGTGTCAACACAGTGAAACCGGTTGAGTAAAAATTAAAAATAAAAATCCATTAAAGTGCAAAAAACGAAGTTTAATTTATACAAATATTTTATGTTTTTTTGAAAAAACTTACATTTTTCTAAATTTAGTTTGAATCCTGCCTCATGCAATTTATTAAAATCATCAATTTATCTTATTAAATGTTCCTTTTCACTCGAGCCTATTATTAAAATATCGTCCATGAAACAAACAACACCAGTAATTCCTAGCAATGTTTTTTCTACGATCTTTTGAAGTAAAGAACATGCAGGTTTTGTTCCGTATGGTAATCGATTAACCAAATAAATTCCCTTATGAGTGCTCCATGCTAACAATTTTTTTGTATCTTCCCCCAATTCTAATTGATTATAAGCATTCTTTAAATCTAGTTTAGTGAAATGTTCACCTCCTTGCAATGCTGCGAACAGCTCTTCAATTCTTGGTAAGGGATACTTTATACCTTCGATATACTTATTCACCGTAACCTTGTAGTCGGCACATAATCTGATACCTTAATTTGGTGTTATAACTGGAACCAAAGGCGTTCCCCATTCACTGTAATTTACTAATTGTATTATACCCTTCCTTTCCAGATCATCTAACTCTTTAGCAATTTCTTTTTTAAAAGCAAAAGGCACAGGCCTCGGTTTCACAAATATCGATTTTACTTTTTCGATTAACTTAAAATCTATCTTTTCATACTTATATTTACCTAACTGATCCATAAATAGTTTTTTATACATCTCTAATAACGTTTTCAGATCATTATTTTCATTAATATTATTTAATTCAGTGTTAAAGTCTTTACCTAATTCTATATTGCACTTTCTTATCAAATCTCTACCTATTAGACATTTATTTCCTCCATCTACTACTAAAAAACGACAAGTCTCTTTTTCAGTTTTATAAACAACTTCTACATTCATTTCTCCCTCCGGAACAATAATGCTACTGTTGTACATTTTTAAACGCGTTTGAGTCGGCTTAAGTTCAATATTATTAAATAACTTCTCATATATGCTTTTTTGTAAAATGGAAGCTCCTGCACCCGAATCCACCCCAAAATGTACTACTTTATCATTTAACAATAATTTTACAATGTACGGTTTACAATCGTTAAAACTCATTAAATCTACATAATCTAAAGTATTCTTGTCTTCGACATCAACGTTCTTTACATCTTTCGCAAACCTACATACTACCGCTAAATGTCCTTTCTTTTTGCATACTTTACAATTGTACTCCTTGTACTTACATTTAGAAAAATCATCTCTCAAGTCTGACTTTACTATAGCGTTAACATGATCTTTGAATTGCAACTGGTCATCGAATAAGACACCCAAATCTCGAATAGCGCGTTCTCTGCGTATTGCTTAAACTCCCACACTACAATTAAACTTAAATAATTAACTTAATGGGTTATTACACCTTGTGTAAGATACGACAACGCATTTTGCTATGTTAAGGTCAATTCCATTCTGTATTGACCAGGAACTGATAATGTTCAGATTGCGCTGTAAGATAACACAGTCTTCAGGGGATGTTACACGAGCGAATATCTTTAGGTCATCGGCGTAAGCAAGCACATTACAATCAAGTCGTCGTAATAGATCGTTCAGATAAACATTGAATAGAAGGGGACCCAGGTTGGAACCCTGTGGAACACCATAGCCAGCAGTGAACGTATTAGATTTAAAACCGTTGTAGCTCACATAGCAAAGTCTATTGGAGAGGTAAGATGAAATTAAATCCACGAAATCATTGGTAAATCCAAGACTGCAGAGTTTAGAAAGAAGTATTCCATGATCTNAATCTCTGATTTCGCCCGCCTAAGCCGAGATCGCTTGCGGGCGAAGCTGTACAATTAATATCATATCAACCCTTAACTGAACAATACAATGTAACGCATCCCCCGCAAGTGGCCTCGGCTTTAATTAGGTTGGAAAATCTATGACTTCACCCAGCTAAGCCGAGATCGCTTGCAGGTGAGGCTCTACATTTATTATCATATCAATCCATTGCAGGGTTTAAGTTTAAGCTTACAATGTGGAATCTGATTTCAGACAATGGATAATTACATCGGCACACTGCGACATGCAATGATAGATTGCTTATTTAAACATATCATCTTTATTTCTGGATACTGGAAGTAGTACACAAATCGATACTATTATCCCGTTTAATTAATTTTACCATAATAAGCATAAAGCTACAGCTTTTAGAGCTTACATACGCTCGCATATGTTATAATACACCTTTATCAAATCAAAAATAAAAACTATCGGTGTTAATAATGACTTCTCCATAACTTATATAAATTCTCTAATTAATAAATTCCTCAACAAACAACAGCTTAACTTATTAACAAGTCTACAAAAATCCAATAATAAACAAAATTTAATCTATGGATCAATTAAATACCCGGGTAATATAGCTTACAATAATTAATCTATTTTTCGCAAATACAATATCAATATGTATTTTGAAAATACAGATACTCTCCAAAAAAGACTTTTCAATGCTAAAGATAAAATAAATTTACTCTATCAAAATGGTGTTTTTAAACTAGAGTGCGATATTTGTGGTGCTTCATACATAGGAGAAATAGGTAGATCAATAAAAGTTAGGAGAAATGAACATAAACATAATGAAAACTCTAATTTTGGTAGACACATGATAATTTACAATCACGATTTCGATACAAAGAATAATGTCTCACTTTTACGCAAACAAAATAAAGGTTTCAAATTAAATTTACTAGAAACATACGAAATAGAAAAATTTAAATTTAATAATGATCACCTAGAATGCCTTAATGATCAAGCTCACACTAACAAAACCCTCCTTTATAAATTCTTATCCACACCTTTTCACCAAAATGCCGAGGAATAATATATTTGTGCCGCATATATTATTCGCACTTTTTGGGGTCCCTGCGGCCAAACACCTTCCCTATCCCAACACCCTCTCCCAATTCTTTAAATAATTTCAAATCCCATTTTCTTTGTTTCCCCTTATTTTGTTATCATTGATTTAATATAAAAATTTAAAAGTCTTTCGAACATTTAAATTTAGCATACGTTTAGCCAGTTTTTTCTTCTTCTCCACGTCAACGCCGAAATCTTACTTCAAAACTTGTTTTACTTGTCGCCATTACACGACTTTTAATTCTACAGAACGTTTGTTAAATTTGTAAAGCGTGT